GGTGGTGGTGATGATGATGGTGATGATGATGATGATGGTGGTGGTGGTGGTGGTGGTTGTGATGCTGATGACGATCTTACGATGGCGATGTTGCTGTTGTTCCTGCTGCTGCTGCTGCTGATGATGATGATACTGATGCTGCTCATGATGATGATGCTGCTGGTGATGGTGGTGGTGGTGTTTTTGTGGTGGTGATAATGATGATGATGATGATGATGATGATGATGATGATGATGATGATGATGATGATGATGATGCTGCTGCTGCTGCTGCTGCTGCTGCTGCTGATGATGATGATGATGATGATGATGATGATGATGATGATGATGATGGATGATGATGATGATGATGAGAGGAGGAGAGGAGGAGGGGAGGAGGAGGAGGAGGACACGCTATTTGCGCTCGCGCCACATGGGTCATTCCACCCCTCCCACCCATCCCTGAAGGGTGTCATAGCAGACTCGACCCCCCCCGCATGACCCGATCGTGTTATGCGGGAGTTATGTACATTAGAGGAGGTGGAGGATTAGCATAATGAAGAGGATGATGAGGGAGAGGGAGGATGAACAGCAGCAGCAGGAGCAGGAGTATGAGGAGCGGAAAGAACAGGAAGGCCAGGGGAATGCGGAGGAGGGTCAAGGAGGGAAGGACGTCAACGACGAGGAAGGTCTCGGGTCCCGAATTCTAGCCCAGGCCGCGGCGAGAGCGCCATCCAGATCGACGGGAGCAAAGCGCCGATCCTGGAGTGATGCCAGCGCTGCAGTGAGAACACCATTTGGAGACACCGAACGCGCTCGCGCTTGACGCAAGCCGGAGGCACGACCAAGCTTTACAATCCCGTGTGGGAGCAGAAACGATCAGCAAGCCAAACGATCCGCAAACTTTGGAACCCTGAGAACGTTCAGCAAACAAAGGACGCTCCGATCGAACAGAGCCGTTCCACAGACTAGGCACCGAAGCCCAGCGCAGACCTAGCAGCAGGCGGGAGATGCGGCGCCACGCTGGCGCACAGAATCCGGGGAGAAAGGAGAACGACACTCATGCTGAGGAGCAGGAAGAGGAGGAGGAGGAGGAGGAGGAGGAGGAGGAGGATCAGGCGTGGGAGGAGGAGGAGGAGGAGGAGGAATGTAATTCATGAGAGGGAACGGAATTGAATGGAATGGAAGGGGCTGTAATCGAAGTGGGACCAGCCGTCGAAAGCCCGCTAGCCCAAATAAGAACAAGGGGGATCGCCCCCACCGGGGGTCGTCCTTCAGCTGCTCGGAGTGCCTGCGGGCGGCCGTGGCAGTCCTCTGTGCAAGACCGCCGGACTCGAGACCGAACCTGGCCAGATCGCCCCTCCCCCCAGACTAAGAGGAGGAGAAGGGGGGAGGAGGAGGAGGACGAGGAGGAGGAGGACGATGAGGAGGAAGAGGAGGAGGAAGAGGAGGATAAGCAGGAGAAGGGGGAGGAGCAGGAGGAGGAGGAGGAGCAGGAGGAGGAGGAGGAGAAGGAGGAGGAGGAGGAGGAGGAAGAGGAGGAGCAGGAGCAGGAGCAGGAGCAGGAGCAGGGGCAGCGGCGGCGGGGGAGTGGCGCAGAAGGTGCAGGGCGAGGGGCGTCCGCTCCCTCCTTCTTCTCCTCCTCCTCCTCCTCCTTCTCCTTCTCCCTCCTCGCTCCTCCAGTCCTTCTCCTTATCAATATCTTCTCCCTGTCGCACCCCGAGGCCAGTTTTTAGGGCGGGCCCGGCGTTTCGCCTGAGACTCTGTCACCATTCATGATTCTGAATTGGCAACCGTTTCGCAGATGGAGGGCGGGCCGTTTTCAACATGTGGCTCTCGTCTTCGCGCGGCGCGCATTCGTTTAAACACATCGCAAGACTTTCGCGGATTGAGGGCGGGTCGTTTTCAAACTGTGGCTCTCGCCTTTGCGCAGCGCACATTCGTTTTTACACATGCGAGAGCTTCACGGATTGAGGGCGGGTCGTTTTCAACATGTGGCTCTCGCTTATGCGCGGCGCACATTCGCTGTAGAAATTTGCAAGAGTTTCACGGATTGAGGGCGAGTGGTTTTCGAAATGTGATTCTCGCCTGAGCGCCGCACGCATTCTGCTTCACACTTTTCAGCAGTTTCACGGATTCCCATCATCAACGTGCCAGAAATGGCCGCACTCATTTCAACAAGCGTATGTCTGGTCGGCATCCGCGTGAGCCGCACCTCAGGATCGATCTCCTTCCTCTCGAGCCTCCCTCAGCTTCGGCGGCGGGTGGGGGCGAGCTTCGGGGTGAGGAGGACGGCCCTCTGGGCGCCAGCGGGTCCATTTGGCATGGTCTGGACGGCCAGTCTTCACACTCTCGGTCTTCGGAGTTCCCCGACGACTCTGACTGATCGTCCGTCATTTGCCCGACAGCCCAGGTGTTGAGGCCCCCTCCCGTGAAGGCAAGTTTTGATCCCACACACCGCGAGCTCCCGTTTAGTCGGGCCGCGGGGGTAGGGTGGGAAAACCTGAAAGGGGCCTCCACCTGATGCTGCTTGGTCCATTCTGTGCTGCTTTTCTTGGCGCTCTTTTTGCGCCATCGCCTCGGGCCGTCGTGGGGGCCGTGGTGGGTGTAGTGGGTTCGATCTGGGGCCCTCGTGCCGTCCTTTTCACTGCTGCACCTGTTTCGGCTCTCTCCCCGCTGTTGCACGGCCGTGGGGTGCTGAAGGTGATGCTTCACCCGCGGCGGAGGCATGACAGTGTGCCGAGCTGGGCAGTGGGCTCGATCTGGGGCCCTAGTGCTGTCCTTTCCATTGCTGCTCCCGCTCGGCCTTTCTCCCGCTGTTACCGCCCGCTGGGTCTGGAGGTCTTCCCCTGCGTGTCTTGGCTCAGCGGGCGTTTCGTGAACGTCTTTCGATACCCGCTGTTTCCGAGGCTCAGGCTCTGCGGGACTTGCTGCCGTCTTCCCTCTTCCCGTCCACTCCGTCCTTTTTTCTCGCCCGTCTCGGCGTGAGTCCCCCCGCGAGTGCCTCGATGCCAGCGGCGGGGCAGGCTGGCGGCGTAGGTGGCAGGAGGCGCCACCCAGCCCTGCCCCTTCCACTGGGGGGAGGCGCCATCCCCCCAGGGAGTACTGCTTGGCAGACGCGTGGATGCCAACAAATCCTCCCCCTCCCCCTCCGCCCCTCCTCTCTGGGCTGCGTCTTGGCCTGGCGCCGCGAAGGCGGCCCGGAGCGGCCAGCAACGGTCTGCCTCCGCTGCGGTCTTGGGTAGGGGCTGCGGCCCGCGGGCCACGCCAGGGCATGCTCCGAGCACGTGTGCGAGGAGGGAGGGCAGGAGGCTCGAGACGAGGCTGGAAGGGAGGAGGGGCCGAAGGGGAGGATCAGGAGAGGAGGGGCGAGGGCCAGGAGAGGAGGCGGGAAGCCCGGGAGGGGAGAGGACGGGGTTTGCGGAAGGCCCCCGAGGGGCGAGGGGGAGGGAGGGAGCACTGGGAGCACGAGCGCGGTGGGCCGGGAGCGGAGCGGTGGGGAAGGGGGCAGGCGAGGGAGCAGGGAAGGGGCGGGCGGAGGGCGCTCCCTCCTCCGCGTCGTGCCTCTTCCCCCCCCCCCCCCTTCGCCTTGCTTCCCTCCTTCTGCCCCTCTTCGTCCCTGCTTCCCTCCCCCCTTCCTGCCCCTCCTCCCTCCCTCCTGGGGGCGGGCCTTCTCAGAGGGCCCGGAAGTCCTCCGGCCATATGAGAAGTCTCGTAAAGCCCTCCCCGAAGAAACAGCAGACCCATCGGCCCCGAACGCATGACGACGAAAGCCACGGCAAACACACACACACACACCAAACCGCACCTCGGAGCTCGGACCCCCCTCGGGCGGCGCCAGGCTCCCGCGTGCGCAACCGCGCCGCCAGCGCCCTCCGAGACCACGCGGCCCGTGGCGCCGCGCCGCCGCCGGCGGCGCAGCCGCGCGCCTCCGAGCGGCCGGCGCCAGCGCCGGCGGACCCCCGCGAGCCTTCGGAGGGGCGGAGGCCTCCAGGAGGGCCTCCGACATTCGGCGGCGAGCAGAATCGTCGGAGTTCGATCGGCCTCCTGCCCTGAGACGTCGATTAGCGGCTTGGCCGTTTTCGGTTCGCGAGAGGGCGTCGCGGCCGTCATCTTTGCGGGTCCAGGTCCGTCGCTAAAGGGAGGTTTGTCCACCGCCGAAGGGCCTCCGTAATTCGGCGGCGACCAGGATCAGTCAGCATCGAGTCGGTAAGTCAGATCAGAGGTACATTCTGACCAGAACGCCGAGGCGAATCCAGCGCTGGCGACGAGGGTTCTCCCAGGAGGCCCAAAAAGGGGAACACGGGGAAGGGTCAGCAGTATCGGTGCCCTCTTCCTCCCCTGAGTCAGCGACGAGCGAGGGGGGGAAGTGAGAAGGAGAAGGCCTTCTCAGAAGGCCGCGGGACTTCTCAGAAGCACTCGCGCCTTCTGAGAAATGTGCTGTGTCTCCGGGGAAGGCTCAGAGAAATTCTCAGAAGGTCGGGGGACTTCGAGCCTTCTGAGAAGGCCCGCCCCTTCTCACTTCCCCCCCCAGGCACCCCGTTGCATCGAGGATCGAGCATCGAGAGGGTCCAGGCTCGGGGGGCTTTTCGGCGTTCCTGGGCCTCTGTGGGCGTCGGCGACGCTCTCGTCGTCACGGCTGGATTCCCCTCGAAGTTCTGGTCGGAGCGCACTCCAGGAGACATCCGGGGCCGCACCCCCTCGCGGCGTGAGGGAACCAGTGGCGGAGCGGCGGATGGTCTCTTGCCATGGTCGCCCTCTGGGGGCTGGGCCCCCGGACAGTCGAAGAACGACTCGGGATGAGAAGCCTGTCACGGGTGCGGGCAACATGTCTTCAAACATCTACATCCACTGCGTCTTGGAGTTTCGGGGCTCCCTTCCTCCGATACCAGAGGCGCCGTGGACCTGGATAAACCAGTTTTGCCCCGAGGGGTCATATCCACGGCGTCTTGGAGTTTCGGGGCTCCCTTCTTCCGATGCTAGAGGCGCCGTGGATGTGGATAAACCAGTTTCGCCCCCAGGGGCATTTTTTTTGTTTTTGTTTTTGTTTTTGTTTTGTTGTTGTTGTTGTTGTTGAACTCTCATTCTTGAAGAATAATCATTGTTGATCCCCCCCCACCGGAGCACATTGATTTTTTTCGATTGAAGTGCCACCCCCGGGGCTCGCACCTTGTTTTTTCTCAAGGAAAGTCTTCCTGCTCAAACTGTGCCCCTGCCCCATGGGCTAAAACAACAACGGCTCCCGTCTGAGACTTCCTCGATTTTTACTCAGGACCCCCGCTCCCGCCTGAGACTTCCGCGCAATTTACTCAGGAAAGGCGCTCCCGTCTGAGACTTCCTCGCAATGTAATCAAGACCCCCGCTCCCGCCTGAGACTTCCGTGCAATTTACGTGGGAACGGCGCTCCCGCCTGAGACTTCTTCGAATTTTACTCAGGACCCCCGCTCCTGCCTGACATTTCCGCGCAATTGACTCAGGAACGGCGCTCCCGCCTGAGACTTCCTCGCAATTTAGTGAGGACCCCCGCTCCCGCCTGAGACTTCCGTGCAATTTGCTCAGGAACGGCGCTCCCGCTTGAGACTTCCTCGCAACTTAGTCAGGGCCCCCGCTTCCGCCCGAGATTTCCTCACAATGTACTCAGGACTGCGCTCTCGCGTGCGACGTCCTCACAAATTATTCTGGAATTGCGTTTCGGCGCTCAGGAACCACGCTCGCGCCAAGGACGCCTTCACAACGTGGTAGCTTCCCTCTTCCTTCGTCCTTCCCCTTCCCCTTCCTCCCACTCTCCCTCGTTCTTCCCCTCCTCCTCTTGCAGGGCCCGCGCCAATTCCAATGGCGGGCAGAGAGATGTACGCCCCCGAAGGATTGTCCGCCCGTTCCGGTTTGCCCGTACGTCTAAGCCCGCCAGCCCCAGCAAAGAGAAATAATCCCCCCGAAAGGGGTGTGATCGAAGACGAAGAGGGCGGGTATCGAGGGTGTAGGGTATACGTGTTGAGTGACTCGCGGGCAAGTAAGAGCGTACAGCCTTAAAATGGTTGTTGTTGTTGTTGTTGTTGTTGTTGTTGTTGTTGTTGTGGTTGTTGTTGTTGTTGTTGGTGTTGTTGTTGTTGTGGTTGTTGTTGTTGTTGTTGGTGTTGTTGTTGTTGTTGTTGTTGTTGTTGTTGTTGTTGTTGTTGTTGTTGTTGTTGTTGTTCTTGTTGTTGTTGTTGTTGTTGTTGCTGTTGCAGTACATCCGCTGCGCCGCGGCCTGTTGGCGCCCCTCCCCAGAAAGCCCGAGACGCAGCGGCTCGGGCCGCGTCGAGCGTTCCGCAGGCCCACCCCGCGACGGAGGTCTCGCCGCCGTGGCTCTGGGCGGGCCGCCCCCCGGGACCTCCGGCGACGGGTCCCGCCCTCGCCACATCCGGCGTCTCTCCTCCTCGGGGGCGGAAAAGAGGGGGGGGATGACTAGGGGGGGGGGGATGACTAGGGGGATGACTAGGGGGGATGACTAGGGGGGGATGACTAGGAAAAGAGGGGGCGGAAAAGAGGGGGGGGATGACTAGGGGGGATGACTAGGGGGGGATGACTAGGGGGGGGATCTCGTGGCGCCTCTTCTTGTTTCATCACGTCCCTGGCCCCCTCCCGCTGGGCCGCCGCTGCCGCGCGCACGTGCCGCCGTCTCAAGACTTGCACATGCAAACACCAACAGCAAGCCCCCCCCCTCTGGGAAGCCCCCCCCCTTTGCCGCCCCCGAGGGGCCCACGGCCGGGCCGCCGGGGCGATCTGGCACGGATTTGGGCACCGGACGAGCGCCGGCTGTGTGTGATGGGCCTGCTTTCCACCACCACCATGAGTTGGAGGGAGAGGGGGTCCTCCTCCTCCTCCTCCTCCTCCTCCTCCTCCAACTTATGGTGGTGGTGGTGGTGCAAAACAGGCCCATCAGTGTGTTCACGCTGATGTACCGCTACTCTTTTCTCGTTCTCCCCCTTTTTGCGACTCCTGGGAGGCCCTGTTCACGCTGATGTACCGCTACTCTTTTCTCGTTCTCCCCCTTTTTGCGACTCCTGGGAGGCCCTCGTCGCCACCGTTGGATTCGCCTCGAAATCCTGGTCGGAACGCGCCCCTGGAGAGGTCCGGGGAGCAGCGGTATCGGTACCTTTTGGTCTCCCCAGTGCCAGGCGAGGCCGCCCTGTCGTCAGGTATGGCCTCTTTTGCTCCAGTCTTGGGAACTCCCATCAGGTTGCGTTCGGATGCTATGTATTTTCATCGCTCCCGTGTCGTCGTAAAAAAAGCCGTCCCCAGGGGAAGGGGTCTGGTCTGGTCTGCTGGGGCCCGCTTGGAAAAGGTCACGTCGTCGGGTGGCTGGACTGGGGGACCTCCAGAGGCCTCCTGTAGGGCCGCTGGAGCTTGTTTTTCGGCATCCTCTGGCTGTAGCGGGCGTTAACGCGTGAGTGTGTGTTTTTGTATGTGTGTGTGTGAGAGAGTGTGTATGTTTGTTTGTGTGTGTGTGTGTTTGTGTGTGAATGTGTGTGTGAGTGTGTGTGTGTGTCTGTGTGAAAGGGGGGAGGGGCCGGTAACGTCACGATCTGTGCCAGCGCCGTCTGGGAACCAACTAACCTGTGGCCCTTCGCCAGACGGCGCTTGCGCGGATCGCGACGTTACCATGTGAGCGGAGGAGGGGGACTGATAAGGGGCGTTCCAGCGACCCTGAACAACTCTTGAGGAACATTGAGCAAAGACACTCGTGGCGCCAGAAGACCCTGGACAGTTCTTGAGAGCACTAAGCAGAGCGCCAGCGAAACCGAAGAGTAGTATAGGGAATAGTTCAGAGAATATCAAAAGTGACACTTTGAGGGAGACCAGAAGGTGGACCATTAAGCAGCCCATACGGGAGACGATTAGGGAAATCGTACGGCAGGCCACATGGGAGATTGCACAGGAGGCCATAAGGGATATCATAAGGCACAGCATCAAGGAAACCACACCGGAGACCATATGATGGGAGATCACATGGGAGACCATGCGGCATACCCCCATACGGGAGACCATGGGCGAACGGGGAAGCTGTACGGGAGACCATACGAGGGAAGAAATATGTAGGACTGCCTCCCTGGCGCGCTCCGCGCGCCAGGGCGGCCTCAGCGCCGATCCAAGAACTTTGTGCAGACCTCCGAAAGTGTGTGATCACATACAGTCAACGCGCCTAGTAAGGACGCGCGCCTTCATCTAGGATACCCTTGCGTCCTTGCCTCTGTGGCCCGTCCTTTGCCGTTTTCACTGGCTTCCCCCCGCCCCAAAAATCCAACTTCGTCCTCCAAGGGTCTTGCGTCCTTACCACGCGTCCTTACTATACGTTTTCACTGTACAGTTGTTCGTTCCTCCATATCGAGTGGCCGCCATCCACATCCTGGCCCTGGCCAGGTGGGGGGTGCCCTCGGGCCCCAGGGGCCCCAAACCTCCTCCTCTGCGGCCCGCTACGAGACGTACCCCTGCGGGTCCAATTCGTCGCTGGGATACCTGGCACCCCCTCTGGGGTTCACTTTGGCGACGCAGAACAGGGGGTCGTCAGCACCAACACCGGCGCGTAAGCTCCCCGCGTAAGGTCGCGCGTAAGCGCCCTCTACTCCAGTGGCGTGCCGCGGTCTCGGTCCGCGTAGGCTGCGGCGTAAGGTCGCACCGTCTTCTCGCGTAAGATTTGTCTGTTTTCGTCGCCCACTTGGCTGCAGGAATCCTTCAGAGTTCTGAGCCCCAGCTCAGAACCCCCGCATGCAGGGGCACGGTCCTTATAGGTGGCTGCCCATTTCCCCGGAGAGGCAGGCTTCTCGCCCCAGATCTTCTCCCGAGACCCGGCCCAGGAGGCCGACACCGAGGAACATCGCCGGCACCGAACAGTTTGGGGGACGGTGCCTCCGCCAGCGCCAGGCCCCCTTCACAGGGCGTCATTTCAATGTCGCCGATTCGATTCGATTCGATTTCGATGGATTCCGATTCCGATTCGATTCGATTTCGGATTCCGATTTGGGATCCGATCTCTCACTGGAGGCCTCCTAGCCTGCCGGTGTCAGCCGATTCGACTTCTCCCGACTTGGCCGCCGATTTCCGCTGATTCGATTCATTTCGATCGCCGATCCGACGCATCGATTCGATTCTGGGCTCTCCTGCCCTCGGCGCACCGCTCCTGGGGTCGCGCGGCGCGCGCCAGGGGGGCGGGGCGGGGCGGTGGCAGGCCCAGCGGGGGCGGAGAAGCCTTCTGCGGGCGCCCGAGGGCTTCTGTTCTTCTGTGCTCTCCCCGCGGGCCTCGGGGAGGGAGGCCCCTCCCGCGCGCCATGAGGTCGGCATCGCCCAGGCACGCCTAGACAGTCGGACCGAGGCATCAGATCGAGGTCGGTTCGGGGAGGGTGCCCTAAATGTTCTTCGTGCTTGTTGGGTGCTCTTGTGCACCCTGAGGGGAGTACACCCTTGGATGTTCTGTGTGCTCTGGCCGGCGCAGGGTCTCGTGTTCTTGAGGGATGCTCTTCTGGCCTGGGTCCGACTGTGCCGTGCGTGCGTCGGTCGCCCAGCGGGGGCGACGCGCGCGCCCAGAAGTCTTGCAGTGTATGCCCGCTGGCGGGCACCTTCGGGCCGTACCGCTCGCATACGCTGTACGGTATGTTCATGCGGCGATGGCGCGGTTGCGACGCCGAGGAATGCGTCCGAGGTTGAATTCCGCATGATAGAAAGCCGCGGAAGCAACGAGGGACACGGTAACGCCACGCGGTCCGACGGAATTAAACTTTCAAGGATCGGGCCGCGATCTCTGCAAGGTTGAACGATCGACGCGGTGTCAAAAAGCCTCTGCGCGCGCCGAAGCCGCAGGAGCCTGCCGCACTGCACCATGCTTGAGCCCCATGCTCGGCCCAGAGAGGGGGCGCCTGCTGCCGGTAGATCCTCCTGCGTCCCATGGGGTGCGGGTCCCCGCCACGTCGGGGACCGTCGGGCACGAGGGCGACCCCGAGCCCTTCCGGGTCGGCAGGAAGAGGGCGTCGCTGTCCCTGCAGCCCTAC